AGAGAGACACAGAGAGAGACACAGAGAGAGAGAGACAGAGAGAGAGACAGAGAGAGAGAGAGAGACAGAGAGAGCGGCTGAATCTAAAACACCTGAAACACCGGCCGAAGCTACCACACTCACACGGTCTTCAAGGGACAAGAATCAACAAAGAACCTGCCAGCAGAAGGTGTGATTTCAATCTATAGATTCAAAAGCAATCAACCAACTTCAAAGGTGTTGAGATGTCATTCGATTCCAATTCGCAAACCAAAAGAAGGACGCAACACCCCAAGCGAAACAGCAAGACCTCCTCGCGCCTCCGGAAGGTCTCCAATCTCCACTTGCTGTGGAAACATCCCGAACGTGGGCATGAGTTCTGCGGAGCCGGCTCGGTCGGCGAGAACTCTCGCGAGACATCTCGCGGAGCCGCCCTCTCGGGGGGGGGCGGAGCCGCGGTGCAGCTCAAACCATCGGATGGTCGTTCTTCCCAAATGAATTCAATATGGAATTCCGAAAGAAATCCACGACTCGCCAATTCCGACACGTCTGCAGTGGGAAAATCTCAACCCATCGGTGAGCCTTGCTGCATCTCTCGTCCCATCACCTCAAACCATCCGTCTCAGGCACTGGCAAGTGGGAAAGCTGGTTCTTAGTCTTAGTGAAGTTTCTGGAAAGTCGGAGTCATGGACTATAGCTGTGTCCAAAAAGGCCGCAGGTGTTCAGAACGAAGGATGAAAAACAAAACAAAAGGATGGTGCACTGGTGCACAAAAACTCCAATGCTCTCCAATGCTCCTCGCACACTAGTCACTAGGGGCCCTCAATGCCGACATGGTTCCGCTCGACTCGTCCAGCCTTGGTTCCCCAAAGCGACTTCCCCTGAAGCCGTAGCACCGACCTCGGTCGGCGACCCGCGACCCGCGACCGAGATCGAGACCTACGAGCAGGGTGCATCTTTGAACAGCATCCCTGCTGAGCCATCCATGTCATCCTTCGGACAGAACTGGATTCGCAAGAACAGTTACAGCCGATCCTGAGATCCCAAGCCCGGTGTCGTTCGCCCGCAGATCTAATCCCGAGATCATCTGCTGCGAGCCGTTGAAGGCGGGAGATCCTGCGGAGACAGAACACCCAGCCCATCAAGATCCGTTGATCCCGGTCTAAAGTCCGCATGTCAAGCTGGAAATTGCAAGTTCCACTCGGTTCCACTCAGTTCTACACCTAACTTCATTCTTTTCTCACGTGGCGGTCGACCACAAGACCCCGGTCAGCGGTCGACCGCTGGGCACCTGGACTGGTGCCCATGCCAGACCACGGCTGTAAACCTGACGCCCAAGGGCGGTCGCTTGCTTCGCGCGGGTCGACTGCGTCCACCCGGATTTCTCAGTGGCGGTCGGGAGGTGAAGGTGAAGCCGTGTTCTCCAGTTGAAACGGGGACGTCTGGAGCCTTTTGGGCTGAAGGAGGCTTCAGTGAACAGTTGCCTACCAACATGAAGGATTGGTCAATGATATAGCGGTTCCACCAACAATATGTAATATGTATATATATATTAGGCGTTTTGATAAGTTCTCCTTAACGTGTGCTAGCTTTTGGGCCCAACTTTTTCTACAGCTTTGGCAAGTTCTCCTAAACGTATGCTAGCTTTCCGGCCAGCTTGTTCTACACTGTACAGGTTTGGCTCACTATCACCTCCCATTCCAAAAAAATAACGAGAGCTTCACAGTTAAGGCTTGGTTTGGAAACGAACACTACAACCTCTCAATTCGCTTCGTCCTCACGTGATTCGGGTGACCGTCGGTCCGTCTGGGTTCCTCGAAGCCCATGTCCATCCCCATGCGCCGGCGATAACACCGGATGATGCGCCGCGATGCGCCTGCTCCATCACCAGTTCCATTGCAAAGCATGGTGCCACCCTCACTGGGAGCAAGGACGCTACTAGGGGCTCCTGGCCTTACTAGGAGCAAGAAGCTACTAGGGGTGGCCTTACTAGGAGCAAGAAGCTACTACGGGCTCCTGGCCTTACTAGGAGCAAGAAGCTACTAGGGGCTCTGGCCTCAATAGGAGCAAGAAGCTACTAGGGGCTCCTGGCCTTACTAGGAGCAAGAAGCTACTAGAAGCTCCTGGCCTCACTAGGAGCAAGAAGCTACTAGGGGCTCCTGGCCTTACTAGGAGCAAGGACGCTACTAGGGGCTCCTGGCATCGCTACTAGCACAAGGATGCTACTAGGGGCTCCTGGAGGAGCAAGAAGCTACTAGGGGCTCGGCCTTACTAGGAGCAAGAAGCTACTAGGGGCTCCTGGCCTCACTAGGAGCAAGAAGCTACTAGGGGCTCCTGGCCTTACTAGGAGCAAGAAGCTACTAGGGGCTCCTGGCCTTACTACTAGGAGCAAGAAGCTACTAGAGGCTCCTGGCCTTACCAGGAGCAAGGACGCTACTTGGGGCTCCTGGCCTTACTACTAGGAGCAAGGACGCTACTAGGGGCCTCACATGGCCCACTTTTGCTGGAAAAAATGGCTCAGAAGTGGGGGGTCTTTGAGGCTTTTCGGTCGACATGAGACCACAGAGGTAAGACAAGATGTGTCCGCCCACGCAGTAGCCAAAGAAACAGCAACCCTCTTTTTTCACCCTCAAAACCTGGGTGGAACCAAAAATGGAGCCCAAAAGAAGCGGATGAAAGAAACGACCCTGAAAGCTTCGGGTGCTTGACGTGGTCGGCAAACCACCCGCGTGCTCCCACCCGCTTCCCAAACGGCGCGTTGCAGTAAACCGGCATAGCTGGGGAAGCGGACCCCCAGCAGCAGTGCAGGTACAAGTGATTCGACGGCTTCTTGAAGAGGTCCGGTGGCAATGTGCACATCCTGAAGCTCACAAACCCTTTAAAAAAATACCATACTTTGTTCATCAACCACACCTCGGAAACTAGGAGCGTTCGAGCTTTCAAAAACAAAAGAACTTGGCTAACTTGGTGTTGTTCAAGCTTTCTCATGCGCTCGTTTCAAGTCGCTTTTCGAGCCTTTCGTCCGGACGGCTCCGTGTCCGTCGTCCCACTGGCGCTCGTCCGTCGTTCGGTCGTCCGGGGGTCGTCTTCAGTCGTTTTCGGCCGTTTTAATGGCGTCCTTGTTACCAGTAGCGATGCCAGGAGCCACTAGTAGCTTCTAGTTACTAGTAGCGATGGCCTCCAACCTACTTGCGATGGCCTCCACCTAATAGTCTCTTCATAAGCCAGGCAACTTCGAAAGCCGTTGTCCTCAACTTCAGTTCGGTGGATTCTATCCAACTCTGTTCAAACTCTGTTCAACCAAGCGCCGAAAAGTTAACCTCACCAGATCTACAATCCAAAAAAAACAGGGCGGTTCTGCGTTCCTGTATGACTAGGTCACGAAAATGATCTGCTTGAACGTGGAACATCGTCAGTCCAAACCCATTAGAAACCCGTGGCGCCCGGACCACACATCACTGGCGGTCCTTAGAGGAATGGTTGTACCACCAACCTCGGCGGCGGCACTCATGGCACTCATGGTACCGGACAAATGGACCAACTTCTTGCTAGTAGCAAGGTGCATCGCTACTAGTAGCAAGAAATTACTAGGGGCTCCTGGCCTTACTACTAGTAACTTAAGAAGCTACTAGTAGCGATGCCCCTAGCTACTAGTAGCGGAAGACACACCGACATGGCACTCATGGTCCCGGACCGATGGACCGATACATTCCGCCCTGCTGAGTGTTCCGCCCTGGGAGGGGACCCAAATTCTTCAAACCGCAACCAGAAAAAAAAACAAAGACTAACTCCTCGGGTTAGTCGATCTGACGCATTGGTCGATGTGTCCTGATCTGCCGGGTTGAGTTCGCATGTATTTCTACTTGACTCATGTGATGTTCACAGAGATTCCCGTGGTCTCCCTACATATCTGCACACACACTCCACTCAATGCCACCAGCTTTCGACGGAGGCCCTTCCTTTCCGCCCAAAAAGCGCGCAGAACGCACCAGGGCCGCGGCAGGTGGAGTTCGGAGGCACCTGGTGCCACTGACCGAAGCGCTGCTGCGCCAAAAAATGGCGCAACACGCCGCGGCGCACAGTTGGAGGACCCAAGTGTCTGGGAAGATTCCAGCGTATTTTGCAGAAAATGGAGTCCAAAATATCAGAAGCATGGGAAGAGAACCACCCGCACCCCTCATGAAGTGTTGTGTTCACCTCCCCAAAAAATTCATCAAAGACCTCAGAAACGGAAGGACGAAGACGAAGACGCCCACCACGCTCATGTCCACCTCGGGCGTGACGTTGCTCATGGGCGTCCAGGGATCGAGTTCGCCTCGATGGACCACGCGGCTTGCTCCACGACTGCTGTGTCGAACAAGCGGTTCGCTTTCATTCCCCCGGTTGGATGAAGGGAATACGAAGACCTGGTGAATGGTAACAAAAATGGTGTTCTTTTGGATGTTGCTACGATTTGCTAAGTAGTTACAGTTATAGTATCCTGTAGCAAAGACGGCTCAGTAGACTGAACTCAAGTAGACAAAATCTTGACTTGCTCCCGCCCTCCTTTGCACCTCACTTGCTCCGCAGCCCCTTGTTGTTCGCCCTTCTTGTGTTTTGGGACCGTCTGAGGCCGCCGCTGGGGGCTGGATTGTATTGGAAGATCCGAGTGACGTTCACCTGCAAAGGAGCGGGTTTCGACCCCAGGGATGTCCGGTCTGCAACGCTTCGACGCCTTTGGGGTGCAACCGAAAACAGCTCTGATCCAGTTGCGTCTTCAAAGATTTGAAGAACAACAATCCCCTAATAATCCATGTCCTTGAGGGGTGATTGTTGTCAGATGCTTTGAGGTTAAATGTATAACAGTGTTGAGTTTCAGTTGAGCTATGTGTAAATGTTCTCTAAATATGCAATAAATATATATATATATACATGATACATGGATGGTCTGGGAATGAAACCGAGGTGGCACGAGGAATCTCCAGACGTTTCAACTCTTTCGTGTCCAGCCAAGGGAGGCGCCTCCGCCGCGGCCGTGGGCAGCCAGCTGTCTGAGAAGCTATCCATGGCAAAATCCACTAGCCACTGCCAGGCCTCAAAAGGAATGTGAACTCGAGGAGCCACTTGGAACAGCTTATTTTGGCCCATTCATTGCATCCTCGAATTTGGGCCCTGTCGCCACTGGCACACTGAAGAGCACTTCGTCGTGAGAGTTTCTTGTCGTGGTGGTTTTGTGGCGACCCATCCTGTGGATGTTCTGGGCACCTCTATTCCATGGATCAGCACCCTGTCCTCCATATGGAACTGCTGGTGCGTGCTTGGGTCAAACAAAACGGTGTCAGACCAATCCCACTCTTCAACCTGGTTGACCAATCCCTGTCCCAACCAGGAAACCAATTGATGTGTTGTTCTTCGGTCAGAACCGCCGATGTTGGACGGGATCTCAAGCGACGTGCGCCATACTGGTCAACGACCCAAACCTCTTCCGTCACCGGCCTCATCGCTGCGGTAGGTGAGACCAGCACCTGCCACGTTCAAGGTATGAGTATGAGACCCAAAATCTCCCAAGAAGCATCTCCCAGGAGCAGCTTGAGCTGGTTCTGAGGTCCCTTGATTTTGAGGTTGATGGTTGATGTATGTTGATGTGAAAACCATGGTTGATGTGATCAACCAGCTCATGTAATGTGGAGTTGTCTCTCCTTTCATCATCCTTCTGAGGTCCTGAGGTCGGTTTGATGTTTGCATCTCCAAAGAACAGCCGTCTCGGTGCTTCCTCAGTCCGGTTGCAGCCACCCAAACCCCCATTCTAGCCAGGCTGGCCGGCTCTGAAAAAAAGTAAAGAACACCCGGTTGAGATGAAGTGAGACCTGCGACTGAAAAAAGAAAACAAACTCAGTCTAAGCTCTGCCGGAGCCACCGAAGCCTCCTTCCAAAGAGGTGTTCCTCGAGCAGTGAACACATCTCGAGTGTGAAAATAAGGGTTGAAGGTCCGACTGAAGAACCCTGGAAGAAGGGAAAGAGACCCCAAATCCGACCAAGCCGGTCCAAACCCTTCTTTTTGATGCGTGCCAGGAGGGGGCCTTTTAAAAAAGTGGATGGCACTCGGCGCCTTGCACTGAGTGCGCCAATTCTGAGGCTCCGACCAATTGGGTGCTGGGCAAGTCACCTTGTAGTCCTGGAAGGAACAACTGGTCTGCTTTTGGCGCATCTATAAGGTAACTTGGAGAGCTTTGGTCCTTGGTCCTACCGACTACAGTAACAAGTCCATTGGTCAAAGCCCCCCATGGGTGAGGTGAACGAGAGTTCCACGGGCGACCTGGTGATGCTTTTCCTGCTGAAGATATACTCGAGTGAAGGGACGGCATGACCGTACATCGTCTGTATGATTTCCTAGGGTCAAGTCGAGGGTGCCCATCATGCCTTTCATGTCTCACCGTCCGCACGTCCTGAAAGATGCCTTTGGTCATGTAGGGCTTCGTCGCCATCAGCCCCAAACGCGTCAGTTCCACATGCCGGAAACGGCAGAGAATGGAGATCAAGCCTCAGGTGGTCCGTGGAAAACGATGGACGATGAACACACGGGGGTCTCTCCTTCGTTGATCTGAAAAAAGCCCGGGCAGTCGTGCTTGGCCCTTTGTGCTGCGATCTCCGTGGTGTTCGGAACGACTTCCCACCACCCGTGGCGCGTGGCGCCGGAACCCGTGGCGCCCGGGCTGGAACCTGAGAGGACCCCGAACCCCTGGCCACCGGGGGACCATCCTCGTGGTCCCCACGTGCAAGTCGAAGGTCCAGCTGAGTCCCTGGACCTTTGGCAGCTGAGTCAACGCCAGCCACCTGGCGGTGGGTATGGCTCAGAAAGGCATCTAAGAAGTCAGATTCAGGAATCTGTAGGTTGTAAACGATTCTCTTTTTCCACAGGTCCATGGATTGGAATGTACTCTGCTTTTGAGCCATAGCTTAAGTCACTTCTGTTTCTTCGTTTGAAGCCTGGCGTCCTCTGTGTCATGCTTCTGTCGCTCTAGCGGGCCTCGAAGTCCACTGGGCCGCCACCCTCTGGAAGAGATCTGGTCACCTGGAATCAGCATCTTGGAAAGGGAAAACCAACCAAAAACGGCCTCAAAGCCATCACCAAAACTCAGGAATGCTAGGAGGCAGAGCATGGCCGACTGACTGGTGCTGTGAAGGAAACCAAAACCAACTCGATTTCAGCTTCCCACACCCCAACTCCATCTGGACCCTGCGATGTCAAAGCAGACAATCGCTTGGTGACACTCCAACCACGACCTGGCACCTGCGTCACCACAGGCCGCAGGACAGCGACATGGATGCAGCCACTGCCCTCACAAGGTAAGGCCTGCAGAGCTTTGCGTTCGGCGCATGCGTGCGTCTGTCTGAAGGGGTGTTCTTCGCACAACAAGGTGCACAAACCGTGGAGTCAGAGCTCAAAAACAGGTCCTATGTAGAACTGCTGTCCACCACTAGATTTGTTTTGTCGGGGTGAGGCTCAATGCTGGTGCTCGATGGCCGTATATCTGTCGATGTTCTTCTGGTGGAACACCTAAGAGATCTTGTCCTGTCTTTCTAAACTGGATCCCTGGCCTTCAGTTCGACCATTCAAAAGAATGGTTGACCTGAGTCTCAAGTCCTAAGAATTGTTGTTTGGTAATGTTTGGCAAAGACCAATGTTAAAAACAATTGCTTGGAATCCAAGCGCAATCATCCAATCACTCGAATCGCCCCTCTAGGTCCTTCCTTTAAAATACATCCGACCCCAAATCTTCCCGAAATCTCCCTCCGTGAAGCGTTCGAAATTCCAACCCCTGAGCCAGTCGAACTTCGCTCTGCTTCGACTCATGAATGCTGCATGACTGTCAGGGCTAATTACTCCCTCCCGACCCTTTCCGACCTCGTTCGGAATCCCATTCGGATACTCCAAGCCAAAAGAAACGCATGGGTCCACCAACCCAACAATCCAATGATACCTTTTGGTTCGGGTCCATATTCTGCGATGACAACACCCACCATGGTTGTTCCAATCACCCACCTCCATGAATTCCTTGCGGTTTCTTCCCGCGTTTCGAGTGGCCAGCGATGTGGTGGCATCTTGCAGCCCATAGCGCCTCCGTCCGGAGGGTGGTGGTGGTGACAAAAAGGCCTCTCAACTCTCAAGGCCTTTCAGTGTTGTGAATGTGTGACCAATTCTACAAAAAGAATAAGTTGAAGCAGCCATCCACGAACAATAAAATCATCTATTTTCGAGATGTCTAGAAGGGTTTCTGGTCTAGACGATCGGGTCTAGACGATGAACTTTTTGGAAATGTGTGGTTAACTATATAGTCGCACTATGAAATATAATATCCGATAGAAAACCAGCTTTCAACAAAAAGACACGAATGTTCTGCACGTCCCTTGTGGTTTTATCGCAAAATAACTGCTTCTCCGTAAAATACTATATTACTATATATAATATATCATCACCCCTATTTCTGGAACACATCGTACATGATTCCAAAAAGGTCAATAGCCACAGGGACGCGAAGAGTGTGTGTTTCCCATCGGTGCAAGGTGGAGCAGTCTCCAATGATATACTTCGATCAAGTGTTGCATAAACGTAGAAGAAGCTCCTTTCACTAAACGCACAAAAGGAATCTTGGAATCTTGACTGGTCAAACAATTCTGAAAAAAAAAATCAGTCAAGAAGTCTGCATGTTTACCGAAAATTGTCTATCTTATTATATAACTCCTTCCATCTCTACTGGGAGCAATTACGCTAGTAAAAGCTCCTGGCATCGCTACTAGGAACAAGAAGCTACTAGGGGCTCCTGGCCCTACTACTATGAGCAATTATCTATTACGAGCTGTACCTTTCACGGCTGTGACTCACAGGCCAAAAATCTCAAACCAGCTGCACTTCAGCCCCAGGTTTCATGAAGGACCAACCGCGATGAGGACTAGCTCAGCCCCAGGCAGTTCCATGCCCATCACCTGACGCGAGGAAAAGAGCGGAACTCCAAAGAGCCCCGTCCACGAGAGTTCCCGTTTCAAGAGGACAAAAACGGAATGTGTTGAGTCAGGCAGGGCACCCGCGAACTGCATGTTGCTTCATATGAAGAGATCAATAAAGTAAAATATAGGCATCTTCACTCCAAACCTATACAATAGTAGCTTCTTGTTCCAAGCAAAATAGCATCCGAACGCTACTAGTAGCGATGGCGATGGCCTGTACCTCATAGCGTCCGAATGTCTTCAACCCAACAGCTTCCAGAAGGACACTGTGATGCTTCACATGCTTCCGGTGACCCCCCTGAAAAACGAGAAGTGCATGACTACTAGCGTCACATCTAGTGTCACGTCTATCGTCACCCCTAACATCGACCCTGACATCGGAGCAACGACCAGTTCCTTGATGAACACAAAGAAAACATGTCAAAAATGTTGGATGCATGTCAGACAAAGCAGCTTTTACGCAATCCCTAGCCTTCAGTTCGACCATCAAAAGAATGGTTGTACTGGTTTTGTACAATCCTTAGTAAAACCATGGCTCTTTGGGATTCAGACCTTTAAATCAATGGTTCTTGGAATATTCAAAGCATTCTTTGCTACTAGGAGCAAGAACGCTACTAGGGGCTCCTGGCATCGCTACTAGGAACAAGGGCCTTACAGTAGAAACAATATATAAATTAGAAACAATAAGCTACTAGGAACAAGTGCATCGCTACTAGTAACAAGTGCCTTACTAGTATAGTAACAAGAAGCGAACGTAGAAACAATATCCATTTCGGGATACCGAAGACCTGCTTCCTTCAGACCAAACATCATCGCTCGGCATTGCTCCGAATCGTCGAATCGTCGGTGGTGCCCACCTGGTAGCCTGCGGCGCCTCGCACATCCATGCAGCTGCTGGAGGGTGCCACACCTTTTCGAACCCCGAGTTCCAGCGAACGAGTTTAGGCGGAGAAATGGAAACAATGTGTTCTTTGAAACATGAAGAAAGGTTAAGTGTGCAAAGAAACATCTTCGAAGATGTTTGATCTTTGGATGCCGAAACTGAGGATTCTGTTCGCATAGCTTCTTCATAGCCCCCCGGCCACCAAGGATGCATCTTTGCATTTCCAGCATGATATCGGCCAAAGTCGCGCGATTCGCCGGGCGTGATTGGACTGATGAAGCTTGTGAAACAGGGGTTTGGCCATGTTTGGCCAAAGCAACACGGGTTTCCCAACGCCTCCTTACACCTCCGCTCTGGAGAGGCGCTGTTTCCCCTACAAACACCTTCCTCCGCTGTTTCCCCTTCCCGACACGGATGACTCGGCGCCCCAGGCAGGTGATGAGGGTGTCGTTCACGATGCTGGCGGGGCCCTGACGGGTCGCCGTGGTGAGCGAACGAACGTTGACACTTCGACACGCGGCCCGCTTCGGTGGTCCACGGGCGGGAGGCGAGTGGTGTTTGAAACCCTGGAGGAAGAGGTTCTGCGGCCAGGAGCCCCTAGTAGCGTCCTGGCTCCTAGTAGCGATGCCAGGAGCCCCTAATA